TCGGGCCACCCCCTCCGGGGCGATCTCTCCCGCCCCCCCCTTCCTCCCCGCCCCCATGCGGCCGGTGTGGACTGAAGGCTGAAGCCGGGGTCACGGGGCGGCCAGTGTCCGCAGACCTCCTGGTCGCCGGCCACAGGGTGAAAGCGTTCGGTCCCCCGGCCCCAGCTTGGGCCTGCCCGAGTTGGAGGGAGGTGGCGGGGGGCAGGCGCTCCGAAGGTGCCGAAGATTCATCTCCTAATTTCCCAGCTGGAGCCACCCACCCCCCGCCAGTGCGCTTAATGGCGCTTCTGGCCGGAGAACCCGGCTTTTTGGAGGGACAGACCCAGGCGCCATCGGCAATACATCTTGAATAACGAAGAGGCGAATCGACCGTCCTAAGGAGGCCGGCCCGCGGTGTGGCCGTCACAGAGCATCGATCGGCTTCCCCGGCGCCGGCTGCGCCTCTCCCGGCTGTTCCAGGCCTCCCTGCCGGTGCCCACCTCCCGGGGGGAGCCGCTGGGGACGCGCGGCCGGGCGCGGGCGGAGCCGGGAGCCGTGGGCGGAGTGGGCCGGCCCCGCCGCTGCGCCCTCGCAGGATCCCGCCGGGCAGAGCGCGCGCCGCGCACCGGCGAGAAACGCGCGGACTCGCGCTGGCGGGGGAAGAGCGCGGGCCCACTTTCCTGCCCCGGGGCCTCCTTTTCTGGTCTTTGGGGGCCTCTCCAAATCGGCCGGGTTATTGTGTCCCGGGCCCGGAGCCTGAGCTGGGTCCGCAGCTCGTCCCTCGCCCCAGCTTGCGCTCTGCTCTCCTCGGCCCCAGCACGCCGGGCGCGGCCTCCTGCCCTGCAAGCGGCGGGCGCGGGGGACCCTCGGGGGCCTCTCCGCCCCCGCCCGGCGCTTGGCTCCCGGGCACGGCGCTTCAGAGCCGGCGATCGGGCCGACCACGGGGGGAAGGGGTGGGGGAGACACTCCGCGCAGATGCAGTTATTCATTTTAACGGAGGGTCACTCAGAGTGAGTGAGAATAACCCGGACGCGTGGCCCGAGGCGTCGCGTTCCCCGCCCCGCCCGAGCCCAGCAGGGCCTTTCGGTCGAGGCCCAGGTGACCGATGGCAGCTCGAGCCACACATCGGCCGGGGCCTCATTTCACCGTCTTCCAGGAGCCCCAGTTAGGGGTGGGGATCGCAGGGTCAAGGGGCGGGGGTGTGTGTGTGTGGGGGGGGGGCGCACACAGATTTGGGGGGGAGGGGAGGGATTAGTTCTGAGGGTAACAAAAGAGGGTGCATCTTCCAGGGTTAGGGGCTGCTGGGGAAAGGGGAGGTGGTGTCCTAGTTTGGGGGCCCCGTGGGGGGCAGTCGCGTTAGCCTTCCCCCCTCTTTCTCATGCCCTCTCTGCAAACACCCCGAAGGAATGAGGTCACGTGGGTGAGTGGTGGGCGGGACTACTCTTGTCTGGAGGAAAAAAGCCATTTTGTCCCCCCCCCCGGTCCCCTCCCCTCTCTCCCCTCCCCTCTCTCCCTCCCACCCCAAGCTGCTTTCACAAACTCCTTCCTCGCCATAGGTTTCTCCCCTCCCGCCGCCGGGGCGTGCGACTCGGTGCGGCCCCCCTCCCCTCCCCTCCCTCCCTCCCTCCCATCCCCCTCCCCGAGACCCGTCGGACCCCGAGCCCAGGTAAGCAGACGCGGACGCCCTTTCCCTCGCTGCTGCGCCCCGCACCCTCGGGGGCCGGCCTGGGGCCGCCCGCCTCCCCTCGCCGCCCGCGGGAGGGCGCGCCCCGGGAGCCCGGCCTGCCGCCCGCGCCCCCGCCGGTGCCGCCGGCCCCGCTCCTCGCTCGCCCCGGCCGCCTTTCTCCCTTTTTCTGTCCCTTTTTGCCTTTGCTCCCTTCCAAGATGGCCGAAGTGGATTTCCCCTTTTAGTGATTTGGCGTCTCCCTCGACCACCACCTCTTTGTGCCGCAGCCTTGCTCCCGAGGTAGCGGGGGTGGGGGGCGACGGTCCGAGGCAGCCGTGGGGCCACCGGCTGCGCCCCGGGGCGATCGCCGCCCGCCGCCCCCCCCCCCGAGCCGGGGCAGCCCCGGGCTCAGCCCCCGGGGCTGGGGAGGGGTCGCTCTCTGGCGCCCCGGGCTCTGGGGCGTCGCGGGCGCGCGGGCACTTGCGGCCGGGAGGAGAGGGACCTGCTCCTCGGGTTGCTGGGGGCCGGGGGAGGGCGCTCCTCGCCGCCTGGGTCCTTGTCCTCTGGGCACCTCCCCCAGCCGGTCCCTTTCCCCCCGTCCTGATGCTGGGCGCCCCGCCCCCTCCCGAGCCACCTCTCGGAGCCTCCTCCGGAACACCCCTCCTCGGGCCCCGCCGAAAGTTTGGCTCTAGGGAAGGTAGGAGCGGCCACCCGGCAGCTGGGGTCCTGATCCTCCGGCCCAGGACCCTGGGGAGGCCAGGGCGGAGGGGAGGAACATTAAAGATGGGAGGAGGCTGATCGCGACATTTTTTCTCGCCCGTGGAGGCAGGAGGGTCTGATGGGCCAGCCCCTGTCCCCCTGGGGAGCAGGGCGGTCCCCTCCTTCTTTGGACCCTCCTGCTGCCAGCTCTGAGGGGATGAGATCCCCCAAGCAGACACTCCCCGCCCCTCCTGTCTCCACGGTGGGCCCCGGCATGCCTCTCCCCCTCCCCCACTGCCCCCATCTGCCCAGAACTGCTCCGGATGGCTTGAGGTGGGGAAGGAGGCGGCCCGGGGGTGGTGAATGTGCCTGAGAATGTTGTGGAAGTGTTACCCCGCGCTTTGCGCTGCCCCCTGGTCTTTGTCTCTCGGAGTACCCCACCTTCCCCGCATCAGTCTCTCCAGGGCTCCCTATCACTGGAGGGGGACTCCTGGTCGTCTCTCACTCCATTCTGATGCCACCTTCTCTGGGTCTCCTGCAGTTGGTTGCTGAAGCTAATTTCTCTCCTTCCTCCCCCTCGCCACTCTGTTCCAAGGTGCTAGTACTTGGAGAAGGAGCATAAAGCCAGCTCTGTTGCAGCCTTTTGGTGGGGAGGTTTTCCCAGGGGTTCCCTGACTATGAGTTGGGGGTTGAGGTCTTACAGCTGATGTTGGAATGAAGCAGGAAACAGACCCCAGCTGAGACCAGGGACTCAGTGCCGAGTCCATGCCTAGCTGGAAGGGGTTCAAGTTGAAGTCTTGGGGGTTGGGCAGGAAGAGGGGGTCTCTGCTGCCTCTGGCCGTGTCTAAGAGATCTTGGTTGATGAAGCTGTTGCCATGGGAATGGAGGGAGGAAGAGTTACATCTTTGTGCAGGTCAGATGCCCACCCCACTCCTCCAGCCTCTGGCCCTCTGAGTGGAGGTTGGGAGCTGCACTGCCTTTGTTGCTAGAAGAAGAGGTGTGTTATGATTTACCCTGGATGGACCAGGGATGCACAAAAGGTTAGTGTGTGTTTGCTGCCCTGGTTTCAGCCAGGGATGTCTGACTTGGGGCTTCTGGATGGGGTGGGTGGGAGGTAGTTGTGCATCTGGCAAGTGTGGGCCTGGCTCTGGTGTGGCTGTCTGTGTGATGGGTTGTGTCTGGCCAGTGTGTCTGTGTATGTGTCTGGCCAAGTGCCTGTCTCGCCGCGGTGGAGGGATCGGGGAGAGGTATGATGTCTGTCTGGACTGTGTGTTGTGAGTGTAAGAGAGATGGAGGGGGTGTGTCTGTCTGTGCATATGTGTGTATATACCTGGCAGTGTGTAGCTGTGTGTATATTTTGGATTTTGTCTTTGTGTGATGGTGGAGGTGGGAGGGTGGCATGAGCCCAGTTTGAGGAGGCTAGATCCCTTTTCCATGCTGGGGGTGGAGGAGCAAATCCTTGCATGTCACCAGCCAGAGCCGGGCTCCCCCTGCGTGCCACAGAGTGCCACATGCACACACATACCCAGGGTTTGCACAGTTGAATGCACACTGCTGGGGGAGGAATGGCTTCTGGGATCATTGCTGCCGTGTTGCCTCAGTTTACCTTTTTGTACCATGGAAATTGGGTAAGGCAATTCGCCTTTGCCCCCTCTTTCTATTTTGAGATGAGAATGTGTGCTGATGGTCTTGAGGGCCGGACTTGCTCACTGAGTGAGTGGTCTTCTGCCAGCTGTGTCCTTCACCTCCCACTGGCCTGGGTGCTGGCATGAGGAGCACTGGAATGGGATCAGGCGGTTTCTGGTTCTAGAACTCCACTGTGTTGCTGAATGACCTTGGAAGAGTCACTTTCTGAGTTTCTTTGCCTGTAAAGTAAGAGGATTGGACAAGATGCTCTCCAAGATCCCTTGTGCCTCTGCAATTCTAGATACCTGGATGTGACCTTGAGTGACTTCCCAAAACCTGAAGATTTGCTAGGGAAGGATTTGGGCTAATCTCATTTGGAAAAAGATGGAGCAAAGAATGCGATAGCCGGGCATCTGAAGGCGCGCAAGGGACCTCTGGGTTACCAAAGACTGTTTCTGCAGGGGAAAGTGAAAACACTGGACAGCCAAAGCCCTGCATTCCAGGGAGCGTCCAGAAAGAAACTGGTTAGAATGGTTTCTAGAAGTCAGGGGTTTTGAAGATGGAGAAAAGAAACGCCAGGCTTGGATGGAGGAGTTGGGATAGGGTGCTGGATGCTGCTCCTGTCCTGTCACTTTGGCTAAGACCTGCCCCCCAGGGCTCTTGCCCTTGCAAAGACTGTTTGGGGACAGAACTTGGTCCCGGCTGGGGGAAAGGACTGAGCGTGGGAGATCAGCGCTCAGGTTCATGGCGGGCATGTAGCTGGGACTGACCTGTTAAAGCCTCCAGAGCGCCACAGCGGCCACTTCCAAATGACCCTTGGTCTCGCTTTTCTGCTTCTTGGGATCTGTGTGTCCCTCAGGTTGTTCCCATCTTCCAGTCTCTTCTTTGAAACGATGACAGCTGGAGGTTCAGCTCCTTTTCCCTCTCCTTCCCACAGCACCCCAGCCAGTTGCAGCTGGGGAGGAATTGTGTGTCTGGAATGTGGGGCCCTGAGGCCTGGTGGAGTGGGGGAGATGGGGAGGGGGTGCAATGGGGGAACAGAGCTCCTGTTTACAGTTGTTCTTGGCACCTGCTGACAGGGCCCTGCAGGTAACCATGGCAATCAGGTGAGGAACCAATCAGTGCTTCTCCCCACCCCCAGCCCCAGAGGTACCCATCTGAGGCCCCTGGGGATGCTGGGGGAGCAGGGAGTGTAACAAGGGGACTCGTTTCTTCAAGGGGAGAAGGAGGAACACATCCTCCTCTTGCTGTCGCTGAGCCTGTGGGTCTAGAAAGCAGCTTGAGGGACAGTCTTGGTCTGGATTCTTGCAGATGGTCGAGGAAGTGAGAGGGGTGAGGGTCACAGCCTGCCTGGTGGGGCCGGACAGGAGTTCTTAAGAGCAAGTGTCTGTTTTGAAAACACAGCGAGTGTGAATGAGGTGGCTCGGGCAGCGGCAAATGCCGGTGCTTGTGTGCATGTGCGTGTGCTTGTGTGTGTGTGTGTGTGTGTGAGTGTGGAAGAAAGGAGGGTGTATGAGACTCATAGCAACCTGGACCCCCCGCATTATGAGACCCCAGAATGTTTTGTTTCCGACTCTGCACGCACCCGTAGCCCAGGTGGACACGGCCCCCAGGGGCCGGGCAGTCCCGCGGAGCGCCTTCGGAGGCCCAGACGGCACGAACACGTCCGACGGCGACTCCGCACGCTCAGCAAGACAGCGCTTGGAGTCTGTTCTCCCCTCTGGATGGTTGTGATAATATTTGGGCATCTTGCCAGGAACAGGGTTACTATGGAAACCACCAAACAGTGGAGTAGCCAGCAAGCCTCCTGTGTAATTGTGAAGGGGGGACCTATGCTGGGAGGGCTGGCGAGGCTGCCTGTGTGGGGCGGGATCCCCTTTCCTTCCTCCGGCCGGGTCTGCGGGCCTGGGCCACTGTGTCCTGCTGGCTCCCCGGACTTGGTGGTCCTCCGTCGGCCCTGCAGCTCCGTGTCTCTCCCACGTGTCTCTCCATCTCTTTCGGCCTTTGGCCAGGCTCCCTGGGCCTCTGGTGGCTGTTTGGGTCCTGGCCAAACTCATCCTGGGGTCTCTATAGAAACTGCTGATCCCGGCTGTGAATTTCTGGTCCTAGAAAACCCAATGTGGTGGCTTTAGAAAGCTTCTGGAAAGGAGAGAAGGGCGTGTGTTGTAAAGGAGCAGTGGGGGCTTGGCCACCCTCCCGGAGCCCAACCCTTGGGCTTTCGCTCTGGGAAGAGGCGGGATGGTGGCGGGCGGCTGATTCCCGTCTAGGTGCAGGTTCAATTTCTATACTAAGAAGTGAGCACGTGAGCCGATCCAGAGCTGGGCTCTGCCTGGCCTCTCTGGACCGGGCCGGGGCCAGGCTGGGTGCTCGGGTGGGCTGGGGACAGGGAACTTGGCCTCGCTTTAGCAGGCATCGCCGAGAGCCCAGCCTGATGTTGGCCGGCCGGCGGGCAGGTGGCGGTGTCCACTTGGGAAATCCCTGTGTGTGAGGACAGGGGGTCCTGGAAGGTGTGTACCCGGGAGCTTGGTGCAGTGGGCTAGCCCTCAGGTCACGGTGGGCGCCCTCCTAGGGAAGGGGCAGTTACCTGTGGGGTCCAAGCTGGAGCTGTGTGTTCCCATCTTTGGTCATGTAAGCAGCGTCCTCAGTATTTCCTGCCCGAGGACCAGACCTGGAACCTACATGGTCAGTGGACAGTGGGTTTCCAGGGAGCCTCTCCTGGGGCCGGGGCTGGCTGAGAGCCAGCTGGACAGTGATGGGGTGCCCTCTTGATCCTCAGGCGGCTTGTGCCCACCATGTTCCTAGGCAAGGCCTCCTGGAAGGGTGGGTGGGATGGAATGAGGGTAGGATGGAGAAGAAAGACCAAGTCAGGACCTTGCAACTGGACAGAGAGGGTGAGAGGGACAATCTACTCTTTCCCTTTCCTTGAGGTTCAGGGCTGCGGCTTGTTTACCTGATTCCTCCTGGCTCCTAGCACTCACCTGAGTGCATGTAGATTGAGCTCAGAGACTTTGAAGCCCTCTGTCTCTTCCGTTCTCCTGCTTCCCCACAGCCTCTGGAGAGCTGTACACAGCGGTCCTTCCCGGGCTGTGACCCCAGGCTTCCCTGCTGCTCCCGAAGTACAGCCTGACCTTGTTCCTCAAGGTTGTGTGAATCTCCAGAGCCCACGGCACCCAGTGGACACTCAGGGCCAGAGGTCCGGCCCGTGCGTGGACTCGGTCTGGCCTTGCAGGCAGAGAGGAAGGGCCTGCGACTTGGGGAGATGCTGTGGCAGGGAGGGGGGCGCGGTGGAGAGGGAGGGGCTCTCGAGCCAATCCCACTTTCACTTCCCAGGGTGCCGCTCCCCAGCCCCCCGCCCCCCACCCCGGCATCATGCATCGGACCACACGGATCAAAATCACAGAGCTGAACCCTCACCTCATGTGTGCCCTGTGCGGGGGGTACTTCATCGACGCCACTACCATCGTGGAGTGCTTGCATTCCTGTGAGTTGGTGTATGGCTGATTGGCAGGATGGGTGGCCTCCGCTGGGGTTGGCAAAGCACTGCCCGGGTGAGGTCCCGTGCAAACCCCCGCCCTAAAGAGCAGGAGGGCTCCCACGTCACAGGGGGGCTGCCCGGAGGGGAAAGGGCAGTTTCAGCCTAGAAGTGGAATTCAGGGACTGTCTTCTGAGATCTCAGTTTTCTGCTTGAATCACTGTGACTGAAATTGTGCCCCCTGGGACACAGGTGCCCCTGGGTGGCAAGGGGTCAAGCACCCTGGGAGGTATTTAACAGGCTGACTCTTGCTTTGTACTCCTTTGGGGGACTTGGGGCTCGCCTTGTGCTACTACTGGGCGCTGGCCACTTCCACTCAGATCTGTCCTCCCCCAAGGAGGGAGAAGGGACCGCTCGCTATTCGTGTCAAGCAGGACCAGGTGGGGCCTTTGCACAGGCCTGAAGGCGGGGACAAGGGAGAGAAGGGACACCTGATTTGGAGCGGAGGGTGTGGTGTTGGCCCTGGGCTATGAAGGGGGCTCTGATTTGCCTCCCTCTCTCCACACCCCCCAAGTCTGCAAGACCTGCATCGTGCGCTACCTGGAGACCAACAAGTACTGCCCCATGTGTGACGTGCAGGTTCATAAAACCCGGCCGCTGCTGAGCATCAGGTGGGCCTGACACTGCCCTTCCTGCCCACGCTGATCCTGACCTCTGGGCCAGTGTCCCTCTGTTCCTCGCCCTCCTTGCTTCCTGGAGCCACGTGGGGGCAGGGAGCACTGGCCACCTCCCTCCGAAGTTGCATCCAGCTGGTTGAGAGGGGAAAAGACCTGCAGGGAGCCCAGTGCCTGGGCCCTGGGTCTAAGGAAGGGAGGTGGGCAGCAGGGTTCCCAGGCTGGGGAGATCAGGGAGGGTGGTTGCTGAAAGACCCCTGTCCATTTTTCCCCAGATCTGACAAAACCCTCCAAGACATCGTCTACAAATTGGTCCCTGGGCTTTTTAAAGGTATCTACCAAAAAAAACCAAAACCAAAACCAAAAACAACCCAAATTGAATAAATAAAGGTATCTACTCACCCTTCCACTTACTGCCTACTGCCCCCCACTTCCCAACCCGCTGCTCCCCATTCACCCCACTTCCTTCTTCCAGATGAGATGAAACGGCGGCGGGATTTCTATGCAGCGTACCCGCTAACAGAAGGTGAGCTGTTCGCCAGCTCCGTCGTGTGTGTGCGCGCCCCGGGCCTGGCATCAGGGGCTGGAGCGGCCCAGCCCTGAGGGTGGGTGCACTGGGCTGTCCACTGCCGCCTGAGGGTGGCTGGGCCCACCCCGCTGAGCCCCAAGATTCCTGGGTGGGGCTCCTTCCCCCTTCCTGGGCCAACGCCTCAGAGCTCTGTCCTGCCGCAGTCCCCAATGGCTCCAATGAGGACCGAGGCGAGGTCCTGGAACAGGAGAAGGGGGCTCTGAGCGATGACGAGATTGTCAGTCTCTCCATCGAGTTCTACGAAGGCGTCAGGCAAGTCCGGCCTACAGCTGGTCCTTTCGGGGTTCTAGGCTGGGCTGTCTCTTCCCATATTTCCTGGGGGGAAAGGGTGTCTCCCGGAGGGCCTTCTGGGTGTGTGTTAGGGGATCCTGCCTGCTCCACAGCTCCCAAGCTTCATGTTCTTCCCCCAGGGACCGGGAGGAGAAGAAGGGCCCCCTGGAGAATGGTGATGGGGAGAAGGAGAAGGTGAGTGTGGGGGCGGCCCGGGAGTGGGATGTGGGCTGGGAGGGAGTGCTGGGTGGACCCCAGCCTCGAGTGCTTCTTCCCCAGCAGACAGGGGTGCGCTTCCTGCGATGCCCGGCAGCCATGACCGTCATGCATCTCGCTAAGTTTCTTCGCAACAAGATGGATGTGCCCAGCAAGTACAAGGTGCGCTCTGGGCCCTTCGAGACAACATGTGGTGCGGGGGTACCTGACTGTCCGTGCGTCTCGGCCATCGTTGAACTGGCTGGGGGGCCTGTGTGGCTGTGAAACTGAGCCCAGGGAGAGGGTAATTGAAAGCAAGGACAGAGCATCTGCATCCGTTGAAATCAGTGTGCAGAGATACACAAGACCAAGATGGTGTGTGTGTGCATGTAAGTGTACACATGTGATTGCACGCTCAGAACTGTGGCAGAGGTGTGTGTGCGAAATACAGGGCCTTATCTGGGGCCAGTTGGCTGAAGGAAGGGCAGCCTGGGATTCCAGAGGAGCTCTAGGATGTTGCTTCTCCAACTTGAATGCATCTGTGATTCCTTAGAGATCGTGTTAAAATGCAGATCCTGGCACAGTAGATGCAGCATTTCTAGCGAGTTCCCAGGTGCTGCTGCTGCTGGTCAGCGGACCACACTTCAAGTACCACGGCTCTATGTTAGCAGATCCCAAACTTTCCCAAACCTGTGAGGAGCTGTAAATCCTGACTCACGTCCTCTGGGGCAGAGCCTGTGTGTGTGAATATGTGTGCGTGTGTGCTCATGCACGTGTGCACACAAGTGTTGGTATTTTAAGCCCCCTGGGTGATTTTACCCTGCAGCAAGAGTGAGAACCAGTCCTCCTCCTGATCCTGCCCACCTGGGCCTTTTTGCTCACTGGCTCCTCTGGGCCCTGCCAGAGACAGAGGGAACCGGGCGGCTGTGTGGCTGACCGGGGGAGAGGGTATTAAAGACGTGAGCTGCTTCTCTGCATCCCTTCCCCCTGGTGGTCTGGAGTTGGGACAACTGAGATAGTCAAGGCAGGTGCACCATGAGACTCTGGAGTAGTGGGGGATACCTGCAAGTCCCATCGCCCCGCCTCCTCACCTTCCCAAGAGTCCCGGTTTGGATCCTCTTTGCTAAATGGCCCAGCCAGGGTCATGGTGTCCTCCCTTCCTCCTCCAGGTGGAGGTGCTGTACAAGGACGAGCCACTGAAGGAGTACTACACCCTCATGGACATCGCCTACATCTACCCCTGGCGGAGGGTGAGCCGCTGGGCTGGCACCGGCGGGCAGGGCCGGGAGGGCACCTGGCATTGGCTGCGGCCGCAGTGACCACACGGGCTGCCCTGCTCTAGTCAGTGTCCAGTGTTCCATGAAACTGGGCGTGTCTAGGCGCCCCGACGCGTGAGGGCAGCCTCCGGGCTGTCTCGCTGATGACCCCCCACACTCAGCACAGAAAGGACCCTTTGGCAGTTCACATGGCCTGACTGGGGGTCGGCAGAGGGTCTGGTGGCCCCGGCGTTCTGCTCTGTGTGCTCCTTCTCCTTTCACTCAAGTCTCTGGTCTTCTGCGTCCTTCCTGCCTCAGGTCTTTGGGTGTCCCCTACCCTGGCTAGCTCCCCTTCTCTCCTGGGTCTTTCTCGCCTCCAAGGTTCAGCCCCTTCCTTGCTTTCCTCCTGCTTGGGACTGGGGGTAAGGTTGGGGGGCTGCCTCCTTAGCCTCCCTCCTGATACCCTCCCCTTCCCTGCCTTTCTCCTCCCCCTCCCTGCAGAACGGCCCTCTCCCCCTCAAGTACCGCGTCCAGCCGGCCTGCAAGCGGCTCACCTTGCCCACAGCGCCTACCCCCTCCGAGGGCACCAATACCAGCGGGGCATCCGAGTGTGAGTCTGTCAGCGACAAGGCTCCCAGCCCTGCCACCCTGCCGGCCACCTCCTCCTCCCTGCCCAGCCCAGCCACTCCCTCCCATGGTTCTCCCAGCTCCCACTGCCCCCCAGCCACCCACCCTACCTCCCCCACTCCTCCTTCCACCGCCAGTGGGGCCACCACAGCTGCCAACGGGGGCACCTCAAACTGCCTGCAGGCACCATCCTCCACCAGCAGGGGGCGCAAGATGACTGTCAATGGAGCTCCTGTGCCCCCCTTAACTTGAGGAAAGGGACCTTCTCCCTCCTTTCCAGCCATGTCTCTCCACCCCTCCACTTTTTCTGGGCCCCCTTTTCCACCTCTTCTACTTTCCCCAGCCCCTTCACCTTAGGGGTGGGGGGAGGGTTTTATAAATAAATCTCTATATATATGTACATAGGTAAAACCAAATATACATACTTATTTTCTATGGACCAGATTAATTTAAATGCTACAGGAAACAAACGTGTGTGTGTGTGTGTGTTGGGGTGTTCATTTTTAGGGGGTTTCGTGTAATTTTCTCTGCTCTTTTGGGGGTGCCTAGAGGTGGCCTGGAGGAGCCACTGGAGGCTTGGGAACACTGCCCATCCTTCGGTTTCCTAAGGCAGGTGGGGTGTTGGGCCGTTCTCAACAGCCCCCCCAAAGCTTTAAGCATAACTTAACTGTATGGGGTCCACCTTGTTTCTCCCCCATCTTGGCTGCTGGCCTGCCCCAACTGGTGCCCTTCCCCCCATTGTTGAATGTCCAGAGACTCACTAAGACAGTGCCTTTTACCATGCAGCTTACTCCCTGCTTCTGAGGAGCAGCGGGCAGTGGGGCAGGTGTCTCCCTTACCTCCTCATTCAGTGCAAACTTTGTGCAGAGAATAAATAGTTCAGCCCTCCCCCTTGGCCCTCCCCCTAGTGTGTGTGGCCTTTGCATCCTTTATCTGGTGGGAGAAAAGACTGAAGCCACAGGGAGGCCTTGGCCCTTAATTCTACTGTGGCTTTAGGATTGTGAACCATTTTCACCCCCTCTGGCCCCCTGCCCCCCTCCCAGGAACCCTCAGGAGCAAGGCTGGTGGTAGTAAAGTCTTACCTGGGGACCTGGAGGGGAAAGGTGGAGTGGGGCTGATCTCTGTGAAGCACAGACCCCCAGATTTAAGGCCACAGCCCTCCAGCCCCTCCTCCACCTCCAGCTGTGGCCAAGTCAGGAAAGAGCAAAGACAGAGGCATGTAAAAGCACAAGAGAGAAACCCTTCAGCTCTGACCTCAGCTTCCTCCCAAGAGGTCAATGGCCCACCCCCTGAGGGGCAGACCCCAACACACCCCTGCTCACCATTTTCCTCCAATGTACATAGATCACATGGGGAGGGGATTAGGAGGCAGAACTGCCACAGCCTAGGTGTTGGGTTGGGGGCGCCCCTCCACCTTTGTGTTTGCACCTGTCCTGTGTCTGAGGTGCTGTGACTGTATCCTTCTGCCCTGGGACGTTTGTATCTCCTGGCTTTGTAATAAATGCTGCATACTCTCCGAGCCTGTAGTTCTTTGGGGGAGGGGGGCAGGGAAAGGGCGGGGGGGGGGTCCCCTGGCCGCCTCCCCGGGGAGGGGGGTTTTATGGACTGAACATGCACTGCCCCTCTGGGGTCTGTCAGGTGCCCTCTGCCCCACACAGGGATGGGCCGTGCACCTCCCGCCAGTGACAACTAGAACACACTGCCGCGGGGACAAGCCTTTAATGCCATCATCACACCAGCCAGCCTTAAACCAGGCTCTGTTTGCACATGCCCAGGTCCAAGACCTCAGGTTCTGGAGAACAAGCCCTAGACAAGCCAGCTGCCAGTACTGGGTCCCTGGAGGACCCCTTTTTGGGCTCAGCATTCCATTTCCCTCCCCACAAAGGAGGTGCTAAGGCCCCTGGGGCCGGGCAGCAGCTACCTCAGAGTGGGGAGCCCACTTCTGCCTTTTGTACCCGCTCACTCCTGTGGGTGCCGTCGCAATATGGGGGCTTCTGGGTGGCCTTGCAGGTACAGAGGGCCACTGTGCGGGTCTCCTGGGCCTTGAACTTGAGTGGAGATAAGCCAGTGCGTTGGAAGAAGTGGGACCCATCACAGAAGGGCTGGTGAGAGAAAGAGAAGTTAGAGACCCAACCCACCTGCTGGGCTGGGCAGGCCTGGCAGGGGCAGAGTACAGGGTTAACTTAGGGCCCAGGTTCCTGAATGTGACTGCCTGGGTTCACTAGCCAGGGGAGCTCTTTATGTGAATGCTAGAAAGGGTAGAATTGTTCTGAGGAAATAAAATATGCAATGGTTATGAGCTTTGCCTGCAGTAGGTGTTCATTAAGTAGGAGGCTTTATAGCATTAGTCTTTGGGGGACCCCGAAGGCCTGACACAAGGACGGAATTTTCAAGGTGAACTGGGACCTTGAATGCTTCTACCAGTAAGATGTGTTGATTTCAGCAGCTGAGTCTCCACTGGTTGATAAAATTCATCTTCCCCACATTCTGAAGGACCATGGAGAGGAGGCCTGCATGCCTCACGGTGCTGCTTTAAGACTGGGGTATCAGGGCCTCCCTGGTGGCGCAGGAGGTTGAGTGCCGCACTGTGAAGCTGTCCATAGCCTCTACAGTGCGGGTTTGATCCCGGCCAGCCAGCAAGAATCCCACATGGCGCAGCAGACCTCTCCTGTCTTGCCCTCTGCTCCCCTCAGCAGTGTATTTCATCAGTCTGCCTGTTCTGCTCCCCACTCTGTCTCTGGTGAATAGTCTCACCCTCCCGCGCATCTGGCCTGTACCCTGGCTCTTGTACAATTAAACCAATGTTTAAAAAAAAAAAAGACCTGGGTATCAGCTACCCGGCTGGGGATTGAACTCATGCTGCAGTGGCTGCTGACAATGTCATAGTGCTGCAACTTAACCCCTTACGCCACCAGGGGTGACCCACATGCACGGCAGACCTCGCCCACTGCTCCCCTCAACAGTGTATTTCAGTCGAGCCGCATGTTCTGCTCCCCACTCTGGTGAATCCTCTCACCCCCTGCCATCTCTGGCCTATACCCCAGTTCTTGTATGCATAAATAAATCTCTAAAAAAAAGACTAGGGTATCAATTTTGTTTGGCTCTAGGAAAGAACTGGGCATATTCGAGGGACGGGCTGTTCCTAGAGGGAAGCAGATGTCTCTGTGAACTGGCCGCCGGGTGCGGGAACATGCTCCCTGTCCTGAAGGTGTTGGAGGGACTCTTGTTAATGGAAACTGAGGCCCAAAGAAGTGCCCAAATTTGTTAGTAGCAAAGCTGGAGCCAAGGCCTCTTGACATGGGGTCAGGATGGGGCAGGCAGAGAGCTGGGGGAAGTGCTCAAAGGAAAATCTGCCCTCTGTCTAAGGGAAGCTGAAGCAGGGAGGTGCCCAGTGCCCACCTGGGCTAGGCCCCACCTGGCCTGGGCCCTCTTAGCGCACTCCACCTTGTGAGCAAAGTCCCCTGCAAATCAGGTGCAGAGCTGAACTAGGGACTCAGGCTGGTGAGAACACCACAAGGCTCAGAGGAACACAGCGGAGAGCTCAGCTTGGGAAGGAAAGGGGCCTGGGGGCTAAGACTACGGGGCAGGGTCCTGCTGGATCCAAGGCTCCTGGGGCAGAAGGGAGGTGGGGGCAGGCAACAGGGCAGAGACAGGCTTCAGTGGCCGCTGCCAGCCAGGAAGGACAGGGCAGCTGAGAAAGGGGAGGCCCTTGGGAGGCAGAGGAAGCTCTGCAGGGCACCTGAGCAGTCTTCCCAAAGCTGGGGTCCAAAGTCCGGGAACTTTCAGCCCAGATGCTTCCTGGAGGGAGGAAGGTGGGGAGAGAGAAGAGTGTCTCTGGGTGCTTAAGAGAGTATGTGTGGGTGTGGGTGTGGGTGGGGGGAGCCTGAATGTGCTTGTGAGGAAGAGGGAGTACCAGGAGCCCCGATCCTGCGGTCCACACCTGGCCCTGTGACTCGAGTTTCTGCTCTGATCTCATCTCCAAGGGCAGGTGCAGAGAACAGGGACCTTGAGACTGCGGGTGGTGCTGACCCCCAGTCTCCTCTGCCATCTCTCAGGTGTGTGGGAGGAAAAGAGGTACATTTTGGTCAGGAGCTCCCAGGAGACACAGCTGTGCCTAACCAGGGGTGCTGATGCCAGTGCAAAGGTGGAGAGTCTCTCACCTGCTTCTTGCTCCGGCCGCACACACACCACCTGTAGGTTTTTCCAGCTACCAGCTCCACTTTGATGGGTGTCTTCAGGGCCACCACAGACTTAGCTGGGGATTTGGGGAACCACCGAGCCTGCGGCAAAGATGAGAACCGGGTCAGTCCAGGCCTTAGAAGCACTTTCCTGCCCATGGCCTCATCCAGGTCCAGTTTCCCACTCACCCCCGTTTGTAGCCTGGTGAGGCTGATCTGATGCCAACCACAAGCACATTCCCCAGCACCCAGGAAGACCCCCTGAGCTCCAGCCCACGAGGACTCTCAGGTTTCACATCCAGCAGCCTTCCCCCAACCCCGGCTCCCACCTGGTGCTGGGCAGGGAGCAGGGTTCTACCAGCCAAAGCAGAGCCAAGAGCCCCTGGGGTTCTCGGGCACCAGTGATCCCAGCGCAGAAGCCTGGTGCCCTCTGGTCCACCCACCTCTCCAAGCAGGACGCTGGGAAGCTGGAGGCAGGGCTGACCTTTTCTGGCTCAGGTCTCTGGTCTCTACCTTTGGGGTGTCTAGGGGACTTGCGGAGGGAAAGGGAAAAGGGGGTGCTTACCAGCCAGGAGGCGATGCCCCGCCTCTGGTTCAGCATCTGCAAGGCACGCAGGCCATCAGGACACGGAAGTTTGGAAACAAAAATCTATCAGTGCCAAGAGCGGACTTCCAGAGGGAAGTCATGGGGGCGGGGGAGAGTCGCCGGCGCGGAGGACGCGAGAGGAAAACGAGGGTGAGAGAGGGGAACCCCAGGAGAGGAAGGCGCTTCGCGGGGCAAGTGCTGGCGCCTGGCGGGCGCTCAGGAAGGGGTGCAAAGCGCCGGGCGACGCCGGGCCTGGCGGGGGGGGGGGGGGGCCGAGCCGAGGGACAGGCAGGGCGGGGCTCGGGGGGGGGGAGCGGGCAGGCCCGAGACGCGGGGCGCGGGGGCTCACCCAGGCCGCCGGCCGCAGGAGCAGCCCCGCGCCGCCCATGCCGGCCCCACCGCGTCGCCAGGCCGGCTCCGCCCCGCGCGGGGTCACCTTCCCGCTTCCCCCGCCTCCCTCCCGCGCCGCCCCGCCCCGGCCCGCCCCGGCCCGCCCCGGCCCAGAAGACGCCGCGGGCTGGGCGCGGGGAGGGCGGGGGCCGCCCGGAGCGCGCCCGCCCCGCAGCCCGCACGCCCCCCCGGGGGTCTGGAGGGCGCCGCCAGGCCGAGCCGCCTCTCCCGGGGCCCCCGTGTGAGCGGGACTCCCCCCGGAGCCGCCTCCCCGCGGAGCGGAGGCCGCGTCCCCTCGCCCCCCGCGGGCCTGGCCACGCGCGCGCCCGAGCGGGAGGCCCCGGCGCGCGTGGCCAGCTGCGCCCTCGGCGTCGGCGCGTCTGGTCTCCAGCTACGTGGGACTCCCCATGCTCAAGGCAGCGCGATAGAGCGGACCCCACCCCAGCCGCAGCCGGCATGCCCCCTCTTTCCCGTCAATAAAGCCACACAATACGGCGTCTCTCTGGACTTTTTTTTTGTAAAACATTCTTTTATTAAAAGAACAAGTGCTGTTTACGAACTGCCCTTCGTACAAATAACATCCGTTATACAAAGATACAAGATCCCGGGGATGCACAATTCCAGGCTTGGGGGGAGGGGGACACTGCCTTTTGGGCTGAGGATATAAAGGTTTTAGAAAGAATGAAAAAGAAGCCCCTGGGTTTGCAAACTGTGGCTTCCCCTCCCTGCTCCCCTGGGAAGAGTCTGCTACATTGAGAAGGGTGGGGCGGATGGCGGTGAGGCAGAGCTCGGGCCTCCAGTCCCAGGTCCGGCCAGAGGAAGAGAACACTGGGGCCAAGACAGCAACCCTCAGGCCCCACTTTTCAGTAGATCAAGTCAAAGTGGTCAGGAGCCAGACCCACTTTGAATCTGGATTGATGTGATGGAGGGAGGCTGGGAAATACTGTACCCTGCCATCCCCCAAATGCCCAGGTGAAGTGACCTTACTCCCTCCAGACACCTCTCCCCAGGAAAATAAGTTTGGGACAACTGGGAGAGCTGCAGGCCGGAACCCCGGCCCACGGTGTGCTGAGGCTGGCGGCTGGCCAGGGGAACCTATCTTCGAAATCCTGCCAGCATTTCCAGTTCAGCGCAAGGGGAGTGTGGGGTTAACCTTCTCAAAACTGGCCCCTGACGCTGGCTCCCCTTTCTAGGCCTTTCCTTGGAGTACTCCCCAGAACTCAGTACAGCAATGGGCAGGGGTCCTTTCACCAGCCTCAACATAAGGACACCTGGAGGCAGCAGGAGATCCAGGAGCCTGAGGGGGAAACTCACACACACAAATAGGTAAAACTTTAAAAAAAAAAAAAAAAAGGCAACCTTTAAAGTGTCATTTTCTATGGAGAGGATCCATGAGCTCTGAGCTACCATGGTCAGGGCTACACAGATACCCCCACCGGGCACGCCCTGCACTCACACCACAATCGCATACACAGGGCCAGCCAGCCAGGGGTGGGTGCCAGGGGTGGGCAGGAGAGCCAGAGACCAGGAGGTCAGGGCCCTGAGGGCTGGTCCCGGCTCTGCCCCCCAGGCTTGGAGTTATAACCTGTGACTGGAGCTGGCCCACACAATCTCTAAAAACAGGTCCCTTCCAGCGGACACTCACACCATGACCTCAAGGCTGGACTGCGGCTCCGCACCCACACCCCATTCACAGCTCCTCCTGAGCGTGCACAGAGCTCCAAGCACAGGTCTTTTCACACTCTGCTTCCGCCCCAAACCCACATCCTTCCCCTCCCCCTAGACGAATGACCTACAAATCTGCATCTCGTCCCCATCCAAATACATCCTGGAAAAAGACCCGAGGCTGGGAGGGGCTGAGGCCAGGATAGCCATCCCCTGACCTGCGCTGAGATCCAGCTCCCTCAGAGGATCTCCACACTGCTCCAATTATAAAGCTCCTTCAAAAGAAGGAAATGCTGCTACTGCCATCACGCCCACCCCACCCTCCAGCCCCTCACTTGAGACAGCCCCAGTTCTTCCCCAGCCTGGGTCCTTCAAATCTCACCTGACTACCTGCCACTGCACCCCAGTATGGGAAAGATGGAGAACACAGACTCGAGAGATGAAAACCTGGGGCCCTGGAGGCTGGGGCGGGGGGAGGGGGGAGTCTTGGTTCCAGTGCATTAATCATTTGGACCTCTCACAGCAGTCCTGGAGCCCTTCCCTCACCATCCAGAACAGAAGTGGACTTGAGCGCTAAGTGGCCGGCCTTGGGCCAGGGCGTGGGTATGAATGGGCAGCTCTTCTAAAAATCTCTCTGAGGGTTCTTTTCTTTTCAGTGGTTTGGGGGCAGGGAGTTAGAGAGCTTAATAGATGTAGAAGCATAAAATGCTGAATTCTATCATTTCATTCTAACTGATATTTAGCATTAATAAAAAGTGAGTATTTCTGAGGTCATCACAACTGCTCCCCCCTCCCCCAAGCCCTTGCAAGTGCCTAAGAAATTGCCTCTGAAGGATTCCCACCCCCCTCCATTATCAGCTCCCTAACATCTTACAAAGTCTTATCAACAGGAATATTAATATTATTTTCAGTATCAGAAAAAAACCAGTTGAGCAGCACAGGCAAAAATATATCTGCACTACGTTTCTGTTGTTGCCAAAAATATACACATCTTCTTTTCTTTATTAAAAAAAAAAAAACCACCAACAACAAAAACCCAAACAGAAACACACAAAAAACTCCACACATGCAAAGAGACTGACATGACACGAGCATCAGGGAAAGCTGGAGACGCCACCTCCTCGCTCCCACCCCAGTGCAACTGAAACACACACAGCATCGTCTGCTCCCTCCTGGCCGGTGCGCCTCCCCCTGCCCTTGCCACCAAAGGCTCCAGGCAGATGGGGGCTCTTTAAGGTGAGAACTGCCCACTGCACCCCAGGGAAATAGCTGGTGGGTGAAGGGACAGCTGTTAGGTCAGTTTAAGCTTAAGTCTCCCCTGGTAGGCGGGGCTGAGGATAGGGCTGGGGAGGCAGGCTGGCTAATCCTGGGAGGAGGTTTTCGCTAGAGGAAGTAGCACTTTGCCCCCTACCCCCTCCCTCAATCCCTGGGGCTCCCCTTGTGCCAGGGAAGCAGAGCCAGCTATCATGGAGGAAGGGGCGCCCTGAGGGGGCACTGACACTACATGGGTCATGGGGAGGGAAGGCAGGATATTACCCTGATTCAAAGCTCCCAGCCCCCAGTTACTCTCCAATATTGGAGTACTGTTCTGGTTTTTGTTAACCATTCATGCCCCAGAAGGGGACCAAAGTTGGTGAGGTGGGGAGGGTGCCAACAAGAGCGCTGGGAGCCCCCTGTGTTGCTGCGTCATCTGAGCACTGCTCCTCTCCCTGCCCTCGGCTGCCCAGGTCCGGGGGTGTGGGAGACACACGCACGCACATGCACGCACACGCACACTCACTCTGAGTCAGGCAGCTCCATCTCCCACCCTGGCACTCCTATATCCAATAGTGCAAACAAGGGGCAGGGCACCAAGGGGGCCGGGCCTCCTCCCCCTACCCGTCCCCAACCCAGAGGTGGGGAGCTTTGCCATCCTGTCCCTTCCTCAGCCCCCTAGTCTGTGGGTTTCTACAAGCTCAGCTTGTAACCCTGTTGGGGGGCAGGGGAAGGGGACCAGTGAGAAACAGTCCAAGGATCCCTCCTGCCATCCATCCGAGTTGGGAAGAACGCAGGTAAAGTAGGGCCGCCCCTTCTTCCATAAAAGACTACAGCAAGAGGGCAGGCCCAGGGCCCATCCCTCCACTTTTTCCCACTCAATTGCTGATCCACTTTAGTGGCAGGCTCAACCAACCCCCCACTTATGCCATGCCCACTTCTCTCTCTGGGCGACCTCAAAACATTTGCTGAGTTTGGGCGCTCCTAGGCAGCCCGGGAGCCTGTCCTCCCTCTGACCCCTCACAAAGGGGTCAGTGCAGAGGGCAAAGGGGACCAGATGGAAGGGACTCCCCTCTGGGTCTCAGTCCTCGGCACCAGGAGTGCCCCACACTCCCTAGAACACAGCGCACACTTGGGGCCGGGACTCCCCAGTGCCTGAGCACAGGGTGCTCACTCCAGACTGGGACCCCTCAGGCCAGGACCTACCCCCTCCACCTGGGGGGTCAGGCGGGGTGTGGGTGGATTAGCCTTTTTCCTGGTTGACTGAGGCTCCTTTGTCAGCGGCCTGGAAAGAAAGGAAGGGAGGCTGGGTGTTTACGAGGTGTCTGATCCTCACACCCAGCCAAGAACAGCTTCCTGGGTCAAGAAAGCTGTTGTGGGGGCAATGAAGGAGGCGAGCTGAAGCCCCTGGGCTTGGGCCCTGGCCAGTGCACACCAGGGATGGGGAAGGAGCCCTATACGAGGGCGCCCGGCTAAGTGGGCACATGCCAGCCACGGTTGGAGCCCCGGGTCCCAGTGTACATCCTCTGGAAGAAGGAGGCCCTCTTCTCAAAATGGCCCACGCAGGGTATCATCTTTTTCTAAGTGGCCGCTCAGAGGATACAGCATTCTCCAGCTGATCTTCTCAGTGGGGGGCATCACCACTGGTCCCTTCACCACTAGCTGAGCTCAGAGGGCACCTTTCCGGGATCTGCCAGAGGGCTGCAGAGGCCCTCCAGGATCTGGAGCAGGGAGGGGACTTTGCTGACCTAGGGATCACTTCTTCCTGCCGGTCATGCGTCTGATAATGTACCTTCTAGCTCAGCCCATCAAGGAGAAGGGAGACAGGACAGCCGCAGGCCCCTACTCACCCCTCCTTTGGGGCCACTGCCACTGCTGTCCGCCCCCGACAGGCTGAGGAAGGGGTTGGTCTGGGCAGTGAGGACTGGAGGTCCGCCTGCTGCTGCCACTGCTGCGGCCGCAGCTGCTGCGGCCATGAGACTTGTGTTGTTGCTGAGTGAAGGAGTTACCAGGGCTCCGGCGGGCAGCAGGGGTGGGGCAGATGCTGTGGGCAGCAGGCCAGGGGTGCCCGCGGACAACAGCGGGGTGGAGCTTCCTGCCAGCAGGCTGGCCATGGGCAGTTGGGAGCCCCCGGCCATCTGCAGCCGCTGCAGCTCCCGCTTCTGCTGGATCTGCTGGATCATCTGGTAGACAACTGTCTGGTGTTCCTGAGAGGAGGCCAGGCTGCCCATTGGCCAGGGCTCCCGGGGGCCGGCATGCCCTGCTGAGCCCAGGCCCCACCCCACACAATGGAACCACGGGGCAAGAGGCCTCCCATCAGCAGACACCAAGGTTTTATCTCCCACTCTCTTTTTAGGCCCTCAGTGCAGGGCCCCCCATCTGGGCGAGAAGGTGGCTGTCCACCATCAGCGCTTGCCAGACGGGGCTAAGGGCGAGGGCAGGACGCCGAACGTCTCTGGCTCCAACCTCCCTCATGAAATCAGTTCCTCAGTTGCTGTGACAGCCACAGCTGCCCACAGGGGAGGGAACACCCCAAGTCAAGGAACACTAAAGTAGGTCAATAGTTCTTGACTCTCCCACTTTTTTTCATTTAAGAGTCATTACTTTGCTCTGAAGAGGCAGGATTTTCAGCGTTCCCCAAGCCAAAACAACTTATCCAGGTTTTACCTTAACAAATCTTGCCCCAACCCCTGTTCCCATCTGGCACTGACAGGGAACTGGCTCAACTGGTTTCGGGTCTGTATCTCTAATGTCTCTTCGTGTGAGTACGGTTATTTTTTTTAACTTCCTGCAGTTACGTGTGTATATATGCATGTGTGTATATTATTTTTACTGTGTCTCTGTGCTTGAAGATAGAACTACTTCCTCCTTTGCCTTTTTAAGAGGCCAAACTCCTATTCTCTAAAGGAAATCTTAGCAAAATCCAACATACAAGAAAGACCCAGAAGAGCTCTCTGCTCGAGGGCTCAGCTACCTCTCCACAAAGACCTTGGGGTTCTCCCTGAAGATCCTCGGGGCACGATAGGATGTGCTCAGTTACTGAGGACTCGGCACCCTGCAGATCCTGGTAGGAGGCTGTGATGTGGGGCCACTACAGCATCCTTGCCCCCGGGCCCCCACATGCCAGAGGAAGTCAGCTCTCGCCCCACAGGCATAACCTCTAGCCCAGGATGCCCTGAGATGGGCCCTTGGGCAGAGCTGGCGGAGGGAAGCAGGGGGCTCGGGTGGCCCGGGAAGGGAGGGGCCTTACCGGGGTCAGCTGCGGGGAGGCCAGGAGCTGCTGGAGCTGCTGGAGCTGCTGCTCTTGTTGCTGCAGGAGGTGTCTCTGCTGCTCCGTTAGACTGAGGCAAGGACAGAAAACACAGACCATGGGAAGGGACAGGGAAGCAATCCTCCCTGTCCCCCCACAGCTCCCAGACTCCCTCAGACCCAGGTGGAGAGAGGCAGGGGTATGTGATTTTACAGAACTAAAGAGAAAGAGACTGAGCTCAGAGTACAGTGGGAGGATAGTTAGACCAAAGAACTTTCCCAGAAGGAAAACGCAAGTTAGAGTACAGAGTACACAGACTGCTTTGTCCCTGCAGAGCGACCATCCAAAGGGCACACTAGCACCTAACGTCTGGGGAGTACCTGGGCCCAAGAGATGACTAGATTCTATACCCTGTCAGACTGGAGGGCACTTGTCTGTCTAGGGGACTGTGGGGTTTGCAGGGCGTCCCCCCCAGAGCCAGCCTCCCCATTCCCTTCCCCAGGGCTGAGCTCTCCCTCACCTGTTGAGACAACCTGGCAGCTGCAGCGTAGGGGCCCCGCCAGCCTGGCTCAAGCCCGCAGGGTTGGGGGCGGCAGCCCCATTCAACCCCCCCAGGAGCCCATTAAGGGGCAGGGCCCCGCTGCCCGCCAGCCCCCCCAACAGCCCGTCAGCCATGGGCATCGTCCCCAGTCCCGCTGCCCCGGGTGCCCGGCCCAACCCATTCTGTGGCTGGGGCGGGAGCGGGGCAGGGGCCCCAGGCAGGGCCAGGGGCAGAGTAGCAGGGCTCTGCTGGAGCAGGGGCAGCGGTGGGGGCGTGCTGTGGAAGGACAGCGACGAGCTGCTGCGACTCGGGCAGCCTGAGTGTGGGTCCTGGGGAGGGAGGGGGAAGGGAGGGGTCAGAGAGGCAGGGGGCCAGCATGACATTACTGGCCCCCGGCCCAGCACCCACCAGCATTCTCACAGTACACAGTCACCCCCACCTCACCCCCAAGCAGAGCCACCCAGGAGGAAGAAGCAAGGCCCAGGGATCACGACTAAGAACCCAAATTGTCTTCACAAATCAAGTGTACAGATCACTTCTGGAGGCCCAGCAACACTCATCAACCTTGTTTAATGACAAACAGTGATGATGCTAGTAGCCCGGGATCAGTGCTGGGCCTGAACTATGTCGTTACCCCCATTTGATGGGCGAAACCACTGACTCTTAGATTGAGTAACTGCAGGCAAGAGACCAGCAAGTGGCACGCAAGGCTCAGATGCAAATCCTGTGTCCACAGTTCAGTGGCTTGACTGGCTTCTGTCTCAGTTTACTCACTGACAACAAGGGGGGTAGCAGTACCTATCCTATAAAGTTATTGTAAAGACTGAAAAAACCTATAGCTATAAAAAAAAATCTCAGCACAGGACATGACAAAGGGCAAGTGGGTAATTAGTGTTAGTCATTATTATGGTTATTATTGCCCAAGTCACACAGTTAGTAAGTTCCAGGGAGAACAAGAACCCACATTGTTTGATTTCAATAATAACCACAGCTTAACAATAGCAACTGCTACCCCAACCACTGCCAATTACACAGGAATTACTTTGTGTGAGGCGCTGTAATAAACCGGTCACAAATACTCAGAGGGGCCCTCCCGCACCACCTTATACATATCTATGGAAAAAAAAACCCTCCCGTCCTCCCTCCTAGCCCTCAAATTATTTTCACCCCAGTCCTTTTCCTGGTTTGTAGCTATTGTTTTCTGGGATTAAACCTATCTTCAGGAGCAGGACTGTGTTGATTTTGATTGCTTAGCCAGTGCCTGGCACTGAGTAGGCACTTCATAATTATTAATCAATAAATGAATGGATCAATCAATTGGAGCCCAGGCTCCAATGGCTGTAGGATGGAGGTGGGGCAGGAAGTTCCTGTGCCTCCCGCCCCTACTCACCCCCGCCCCTTCACCCTCCCCGCGGCTCCCACCTCGGAAGACGTGGACAGCGAGTTGTCCAAGCCGAGACTGTTCTTCCCCGGTGGGCTCTTGCTGGTGCTCAAGGAATCGCTGCTGCCGGCTGAAGAACGGGATCGGGGCGGGAGGTCAGGGGCTGGAGTCGCAGCCAGTTCGAACCTCCCGGCTGAGGACCCCACTCCTGGGCTGGAGGGGATTCCCCTCACCTTGGGGAGGCAGGCCATAGAGCCCGGGGACGGGCCCGTTGGCGGCAGGCATGGCGGCAGACAGGGCGGGGAAGGGCACGGAGAGCTGCACGTTGAGAATCTGCAACCGCTCCTTCTTGGCCGTCAGGCTCAGGATCTGCTCCTGAAGCCGCTGGTTTTCCTTCTGCAGCGCGTGCAGAGCCTTCAGCATCTCCACGACTGCAAAGAGACGGCGCCCACACCTGAGCCCCGAGGGCCCGCGGAGGCGGGGCGAGAGGGCCAGGGGCGGGGCCTGCGGAGGAAGCGGGACCGAGTCCCACACGGGAGAAGGCGCCGGCTCGGGCACCCAGGTGAGCGCAGAGCTGCGGGACCTGGGGATCTAGAGGTGTGAGGACCAGGGGCGGGGCCTGCGCTCGGGATCCGGGCCTGGCGATTGAGAAAGAAGGGGCGGGCGGAAATTGGGGCTTGGTAAGGTGTGGCTCGGCGGGCGCGAGCCGACGGCAGGTGCGGAGGGATTGGGGCCAGGCGCCCGGCCGGCAAGAGTTAAAGGTGAGTTGAGGCCCGAAGTCGGTAAGAGTCCGGCCCTGAGAGGCAGAACTTCAAAGACATTGGTGGGGACGTGACCCTGGTCTGGGGATCTTGGTCTCCCAGCCCGGCGACACCCCTTCTCACTGTTGACTCCAGCCTCGCCGTCGCCCTGCTTCTCCAGCAGCTGCTCCATGTTAGTGGTTCCGGGGGCAGCTGGGTCTAGCTGGCTGCCCCCGCAGGGTGCAGATGCCGTCTGGTCAAAGAGCGCGGGGAGACTGCTGATGGGGGACCTGGGGTCACAAGGGAAAACCGGGCTCAGGCTTGCGTCAAGTCCCCAGTGAGGTCTCACTCCCTCTCCCACCTCCCCACAGGGGTTCCAGGCCTTACCCGAGGGTCCCCACCCTCCCCACTCCCAACCCCTCCCCCGAGCGGCCCCCTCCCTCACATGGAAGACAGACTCTCCTGGGGGGAGGTTCCCCGACACCGGAAACTGCAGTCCTCCAGGTCTGGCTCTTGGAAGGAGAAGGGAGGTTAGGGATCAGCGGGGAAGGGAAGCCAAGGACCTCCGGGTTCCCGCCAGAGAAGTGGGCCAGGGACCTGGGACCTCACCCCCGTCCATCACCCTGGATTTCCCAACCCGATTGGGAGTTCTAGCTTGGGAATCCTGGCTTTGAAATCTGGGCCCTTGGGAGACGAACCCCCGCATCTGGCCTTTCTTTCTTGAGGCAGCCTGGCTACTTTCATAATCCACCTTCCAATTTCTTTCCTGAAGCTGCTGTAATTGGGATCAGGACAGACCTAGGTTGGACTGGAAGCTTGGACTCGATACTTGCTGTGTGACCTTGGGTGCAAAACTAACCTCTCTGAAGCTACTGTTATGAAAATTAAAATAAGGTAATAAATGTGACGTGTTGAACTGGAGGGTCTGGCTGGCATGCTGCGTGTTCTTAATTATAGCTATGATCATAATTAGCTTTCCATGGTTTTTTATGTTCATAATCTCAAAAATCAGAAGGTAGAACCCTTTGTTGGGCCAGAGAGTTAGGGTCTGGGATAGGAAAAGAGTCATCCTTCTCTGTCGAGTCTTAACCCTGCAGTGGGTTCGACCTCTAAGAGGACCCACCTGACCCGGCGGCCGGGCCCGCAATCCCGCCCCCTAGCGGGCCCAGTGGTGTCTCTGCAATCAGCTCTCCCGGGCAGGGTAGGCTCGGTGAGAAGGTGGGGCACTCGTGACCCGCCCCTTAACTCCTAAATACCTGGAGAGCAGGTTACGGACTGTGGGGCAACCTTGACCCCACGGCGGGGTCAGTGGCTTGCGGGGAGCGGTGCTGCCGCGGCTGGAGAACTGTGCTTGGAGTCAGGAAACCAGAATTGGAGCTACAGTTCTGCCTTTCCCTAATTCCCTAGCGCAACTGCCTTGAGCAAGTCATTAATCTGCCTTTTTCCTCTGTGAGATGGAGACTGCTGCCTTGCCCCCCTTACCTGGTGTTAAAGTGAAAATGCACCCTGGTTGGTTGTGTGTGAAATTATTGTTTTTGCATGGTGGGCAAAGGCCAGAGGGACGGGGCAGGCAGAAAGCCCGCTCATCCTTTATGGGGTGACATGCAAGTAATGGGTGACTCTCAGGATTTGGAAGAGAGTGGAATGGGGTCACATACCTGTGTGGCTGCTCTCGGCTTGGGTGAGGAGAGGGTTAACGGCACCCATGGGGGTTCCAAAGATGTGGGTAGAAGGGAGGCTAAAGGTAGAGCCAGCCAGAGAAAACACCTAAGGGAAAAGGAGGTACATCCCGCCTGGTGGTTATTCTTGGATCTAGGGCACAAATGTGTGTACTGGGGTGGAGGGCACCAGGTGTGCTGGGGAGGAGCCAGAACTAGAGCATTCCGGTGGCCATCAAGTCCGCTCTCTCACATTCCCCAGAAGGCCGGCCGGGGTCCTCTGCAGCCCTGCCCCACCTGCTCAGGGGTGGAGGAGTGACGCCTCACCTGAGTGGTGGAAATAGAAGCAGAGGAGGAGGGGAGGGTGCTGGTGAATGGAGAGCGGCTGAGGCGAGGCAGGGCTGAGGTCCCTGGAGGCCCCAGCAGGCTGGAGGAGAGTGGGGTGCTGCAGACAGCCCGCAGCATCCCGCCACCGTGGGAGATGGGGTCCTTATTACTGGTGTAGATGCCTATAGGCACAAGAGAGACACAGAGGGAAACCAGTCACTACTCCCCCAGAGCCCGCCTCAGTCAGATAGCTGGGTCAGCCCCTCCTCAGGGAGAGGACTCCCCGGGAACTGGCCATACCCTCCAGTCTAATCCTCTGGTGGCAAAGATGTCACTTCCTGCCTGGGTAGTATCTGCTTGACGTGCCTGCTTAGTAAACTGCCCCGCCCAGGCCTGGAGAATTCCTAGCTTTTCTAATTCCCAGACCAAAACTTGGTAAGTCCTACAGGTAGTCTATCCCAATCTCCCCCTGCAACCAAGCAGAAGACCGATAAGTGCATGTATTGAGGTGACTGTCACGTCCGTCCTTCATCCCTGTCCTTTGCAGCAGTTTCTGTCTCATTTCCTTCTAACAGCGTGTTTATGCCTCTAGCCCCTCACCAGACTGGCTGGGCCCTGAGATGCCCTCCATCCCCAGGGGTCACTAACCTGCCCCCAGCAGAGGGGACTCCAAGCTCAGGCTGGGCAGGCTCCCTGCAGGCCCAAAGGTACGGGAGGCCAGACCACCCAGGCCAGAGCTGACGAGGGAACCTCCGGAGAAGGGTGAGGCAGCAGTGGCTGTAAAGCCAGCCAGCTGGGCACCAGGCAGGGAGGGGGCAGCTGGGCCCCCAGCGCCCTCCTTGTTCCGGCTACCCTTGGGACGGCCTGGTCCATGTCGACTTCTCTTGCTGGCTTTGTGCTTCTTCTCCTTTAGGCCTGTCTCCGGGGTCTCCTCCGTAGGCACAGGGGCAGCGCTCAGTGTGGGCATCCGCTTGTGAGTGCCTGCTGAGGCCCCGGACCCAGAGATGTGGGGAGACTTATAGTCCCCAGGGGAGGGGGCCCGGGCCCGGCCCGAGCTGGAGGTGGTGGTGGAGAAGCGCATGATGGGCCCAAAGCCAGAGAAGACCACTTTCTGCTCAAAGAGATCAGCCTTGGGGGGCTCGGGGGCTGAGGGAGAGGCGGGGGCTGAAGGGGTTGGGACTGTGGGCTTGGAGTACTTGTCCTCCTCTGGCTGCTCCAGCTTGGGGAATGCAGAGAAGTCGGGGGAGCTCTGCAGGGATGGAACTGCACAGAAGAAAAAGGGGATTACAGCTAGGCCCCAGAGCCCCTCCATCCCATACCGGGCTGGCACTGGTGGAGAGAGTTCTGGTCAGGCCATGAATACGCCTGTTTTCTTGTCCCAGCTCTGCCACTGTCTCTGTGTCCTGGGGTCAGTGTCCCCTCTCTCTGACTTTCCCACCTGTGATCAAGTGGGAAGAAATAAACTCCACCCTACGGGCCTCACCGAAGGACTCTAGCAATTACAGGATAACATCAGTGTTGGTGCTTTAAAAGTGGGGCCTCCCTAGTGGCACAAGGGGTTAAATCTCAGCACTATGAAGCTATCCACAGTCACTGCAACACAAGTTTGATCCCTGGCCAGGGAGCTACCCACACGGTGCAGCAGACCTCTCCTGTCTCGCCCGCTGTTCCCCTCAGCAGTGTATTTCCGTCGGTCTGCCTGTTCTGCTCCCCACTCTGTCTCTGGTGAATCCTCTCCCCTACACACACCTCTGGCCTGTACCCCAGCTCTTGTGTGCATAAATAAATCTTTTTTAAAAAATGGCCCCTTGCTCTGCAGGGGCCAATGGACACTGCTGTAGGGCGAGAGGACTGGCCCTCAGAGGGAAAGAGTTAAGGGAGGGTTTGGAAGAGTCACTCTGTGGGGTTTCCCTGTCTTGATCCAGAAGCAAATGAGATGCAAACCAGTATGCAAAGGCCCTTGCTAGAGAGGCACAGGCTGGGAAGTGGCCTCTGTCAGCCTTCTCCAGGATGCCCACACTCACCTGCAGGCTGGAAGGGCCCCCCAGAGGAGGAGGAAGAGGAGGAGGAGGAAGAAGAGGAGGCGGAGGTGAAACTGCTCACACCTTTCCCACTGCTCAGTTTCTTCCCCTTGTGACTCAAGCTATGGCTGGAAGACTTTTTCCCCTTCGTGTCCCTGCTGCTCTCAGAGGTCTCCTGAGTGCTGGCCTCGTGGTGGGAGGAGGAGGAAGCTGAGGAAGAGACCTGAAGGTGGAAGAGGAGAAGGTTCAAGGCCAGCCATCCAGGTCTGGGTTCACCCCGCCTTGGGAGTGGAGGAGGGCAGTTAGCTTCAGAAAGACTTTCAAGCAGGGCGATGGTGGTGGGAGCCCCTAACTACGGATGGCGAAGCGGCTGTGGAACTCCTGAGTGCAGGACCGGGGAGTGCTCTGAACCAAGCAGTCTTTCACCTCGGGCAGGAATGTCGAGGGCAGGGGAGAGATGAACTGTTCCTGGAATGTGGACAGATATACTCACGTTCATTCCTTCATTTAAGGGAGATCACGGGGCAAATGGGCTGTCCTGGCCCCCTTTGTGGGCCCTCCCGTTGCTGCCACTCCCTGCCCACTCCAAGCTGCAGCCACCTGGCTGACAGGGGGCTCTTCCTCAGCAATGCAAGCCTGTAGTGCAGGCCCTCTCCAGGGGAGCCCATCCCGTCTCTCCCAGGAAACTTCTCATCCATCAAAACCAGCTGGAAAGTCCCTCCTCCCATGAAGCCTGGATCCCTGGGTGCAGCAGTTACTCTGTTGTCTTACATTCAGGGTACTGAGGTGTGAGGCCCTTCTCCGAGGGTGGTGAGGTGATAGCTGGAGAATGGACTCTGGGTGGGGCAGAGTGAGTGGTGAGCCCAGCAGGCTTCATGATTTGCCACAGTGACAGGGCATGGTCTCGACGGCCTGAGTAAGCGTCAGTGTCCTTATGGGGCTGATGACGCCTATTTGCAGAGTTACACGGTGCTTAGTGCCAGGTAGTGGTGTGGGGCCTGGTCTGGTGGTAGTCCTGATGGTGGTGGCTGCGACATACTGCGATGTTGTGCAGCGACTAAGATACAGGCCCTCAAGTCTCACACCTGGATTCAGATCTCGGCTCCACCACTTACTAGCTATTTGTTTTTCGGCAAATTACTTAACTTCTCTGTGCCTCAGTTTCTTATTAAATGGGGCTAATAAAATACCTCCTTCATCGGGTTATTTTGAGGATAAATGAGCTACTTCCCACGCATCCCTTCTATCCCCATTCTAGAAGAGCGTCTGGCAAGAGGCGAGTTAGGGCTTCCTGTTATTTCCTGCTGGTGGAGACAGGTAGCCAGTATGGTGCTGAAGGCCCACGTGCTGGAGGGAGGATGGATAGGGATGGGGAGCCACCCCCACTGCCCCTCCATGGGTGGAACCCTGGTCTCTAGTCTTCCTCTTTGTTCTTTCAACAGCTGGAGTTCTGAAGGGAGCCAGATGTGTTTGAGAGCCCGGGAAAAGAGGGGCAAGGGGGAGGGGTAACTGAAATACTGGGGCTGTGGAGGGGGATAGGTGGAGTATGGCAACCTGTCCTAGTGAGATGCCCAGCCCTTGGGGCACTGCCTAGACCTCTGGCCTTCTCTTTCCACCAGTCTGTAGGCCCCAGGGAAGGTCACTGGGCGTGGATAATGAACTCTTCCAGGTGAGTCCTGGGAAACTGGGAGGGGAGATTACTGGGACAGTTGCCACAGCAACATCACCCTGGAAACCTGACACCTAGCCTGCTAAGATGCCCAGAGCTCTGCCAACCTCCTGAGGCAGGTGGAGGGGAAGGGGGCAGTTTCTCCTGATCCCTCTTCTCCTTCCTTGGGGAAAGGGTGGGGAGGGCTGCTCTGGCTTGGATTAGCGATTCCCTGGCCCCTGCTAGGGTCTATCAGTTGCTCATCCAGATGTTGCCCATTTCTGGAGAGAGGCCTGACATACCATGCCCCACTGGGAAGGGTGGGATGAGTGGGGTTTCAGGGAGTTGTCCAAAGGCCTGCCCTGCATGCCATTGTGGCTCCCACTTTGAATCCCTCCAACTTGCATGTCACCCAACTGGTTAGGTGACAGGTTCTGGGCATCCTCCTGATGTGGGGGGTGGGGTACCTACTGGGGGAACTGCCTGAGTACTGTATCTGCAGCCCTGTGCTGAGCCTCTGTCTGGACAGAGGCAGATGTGAACATCTCTGGCAGCCAGGAGGCAGGGTGGGACCCTACACCCTCCTGGCTGGTCAGTGACTGGTGAGGGTGAGGTGCACAGGCCCCTGCTAGGTTAGAAAGATGGGGTGTTAGAGGCTGATAGGGTGGGGAGCAGAAGCCATTAACCTGGAGTTGGGGGGGTGCCCAGGCCCCTGGCTCTCCCTCACCTCTCATACCTTGCCTCCCTCCCACTGTTGTGACCATCCCTCCTGGGTATGGACAATAGTACCTTGTCAGCAGTGGGGACCACAGGCGGGGTGAGGATGCTGGGGGGTGACTCAGGCCGCTTCTTGTGCTTCTGTTTAAGGCGTTCTTTGTCCTTTCGACTCTGGGGAAGAAGTGACCAGATATCGGTGCTGGGGAACAGTCTGGGTGAGGATAAACGTGACAGGTGGGCATCCTCTCCTATGGAGGGGCTGGGTGACTCTGGCCAGACAGGGGTGTGCTGGCAGGTTCCTCTGAGAGCCAGCCGCCCCCCCCCTCATCCTCACTGCCTGCTAAAAATAGCCTGTCCCATTATCATACCAGTGACACAGAGCACCGCATGCATGAGCCGGCACCTGCAAAGGTGTCCACTGGGAGGTGAACCTGGGCAAAAGGACGGGTGCCAGCATGCTGGGACATGTGGCACGAGGGATGCTGTCCTGCACACTTACAAACTGGGCAGCAACATGGTTAGACTGTGGAGGTGGCACACACATGGGGGCACTGGGATGCTGTCTCGGCATGAGGACCCAGGAGGAACCACACAGCTTCAGGAAAGTCCGGCCCTCACTTCCCTCTGTGACCCTTACATGTTACTTCCTCAGTCTCCTCCTGGCCTTCAGTGGCCTCGGAGGAAGGAAGCGGGCAGACCCCGAGGTCTTGGGGACACTTTGCGGTGGGTTCTTAAAAGAGATGTCTGTGAATCTGACAGGAGGTGGAAGAAGCCTTACCTTTTTCTGGCCTCTCTCGTGGTGGGAAGGGTGCTTCTCTTGCTGGGTGGAAGGCGAAGCTGACCGGCTTCTCCTGTCAGCGATGAAGCCACTGCCACTGCCCCCTGTGCCTGCTCCTGCTCCTCCACCTCCCCCACTGGTGTGCCGGGACGTCTTCTGGGGAAAGAAGTGAGGGGTATGGCCAGACCCTCCTCTCACTAGCTTAGGGAGAGGTGCGTAACGGTCACATGATGCTGGGGGCCAGTCCTCCAGCATGGAGGACTGCCCTGCCTTCACATGGAGGACCTTGTGTCCTCTACAGTGCTCTGCTCGGTAGAAGGGCAAGCATCCTAGAACTTCCCCAACTGGCTCATCTAAAGCACTGGGTAGCTGAAGTCCAGAAGAGGCAGGGTTGTGTCTCAGCCCCAGCAAGGCCTGGAGTTAGGATGAGCCCCATTTCTGTCTCTCAACCCACCCCCCTCTCTGGACCCCTCTCAGGCAGCCTAGTTCTGCTGCCTGCTCCCCTTTACTCCACACAGCATCACTCCCAGGCACTTCCCTCTAGCTGCCAGCCCCTGTGCTCTTGTTCTTGGGCCTTCCCCTCCACCAAAACAGTGGTTCCTTCTGTCCACATGCTGCCCTTAAAAGAGGGAAGTAAAATCTACAATAGCAATAGCCCAAGTGACCCCCCATGCTGCCGGCCTCCCAGCCAGGACCTGTCCCCCAACCTTCATTGCCAGTGGACCTCCCGCTGCAGGTCCAGGCTGGTGGCTTCACCCACCCTAGACTTGCAGTTACTCCCTCTAGGGTCACCTACTACTTCCCAATTGCCAACCCCAAGGACTAATTTGAGGCCTCGACCTTGTCAGTACCCCCAGTGGACACCAATAACACCCTGCTGAGTTCTAGGCTCTTCCATGCATCTTTTCACATCTTGACCCACTCTACTCTGGTGGGCACCTGGGAATTCCAGGCCCAGCCTTACACACCTGGGCTGTTACACACCCTGCCCAGGTGTTTGACAGTCACCAAATGGTCTGACCTCCCCACTTGGTACCTCCTATAAGAAGAACTGACTCCCAACCTTCCTAAGTTGTCATCAAGCCCTGAAACCAAGGTGACCATATAGCTTATGATCCAAATCAGGATACTTTTGAAAACGAAAGGGGTAGCTATTAGTAATTACACAGGGCAACTGTCACAAACCAGGACTGTGGGGGCAAAGCATGACACATGCTAACCCTACGGAAGTCTGCTGCATTCCCCAGTCACAGCACCCCCAGGGATTCAAGCCCTATCCACCCAATGTCCAGGGCCTGGCTCCTATGTGCTACCCTCAAGTCTTCCTTAGCCACCCCCACACAAAGGCATGTCTACCTAGAAATGGTTCTAGAGCCCAGGCTTATGCCTCCACCCCCCCATTCTTGCAGCTGTCCCCAGCTACCAGCCTGGGCCTTTTGGATCCAGCTTCACGGTGGCTGCCAGAGTGCTCTTCCTAAAAAACAAATCTGATCAGGTTGCCTTTCTGCTCGAAAGCAGTCTTATAAGCCTGTGGCCTGGAGGTGAGGTCCAGGCTGCTTTCCTAGCCATGCCTGCCTCTCCAGGACACCCCAAAGCTTCTGGAAGACACAGGTCTCTCCATAAACATGGGTTAATGCCACTCCCCCTCCAGCTCTGCTTGGGCCACTGAAGCATGGGGCAGAAGCAAGCCTGACTCTGGCCCTGCCTGAGCTTTTTCATCTCTTTACCTGACTCATCCCCGCCAAACACCCAGTCCTGCTGCAAATGAATGCTCTTTCTCCTTTCACAACTTTGTTCATGGCAGTCCCTCTGCCTGGGATTCTTTCAAGTTTTAAAATCTTGAAAGAACCAATCCCATACACCAGCTGTGAGATAAATTTCATAACTTTGGTGGGTTTCAGCTTACTGGTCTGTAAAATGGGGAAATACAGTACAGCTAATTATGGGGGTGGCTGGGAGGATCACACAAAATAACGCACGTAAAGAACTTAGTACAGAGGCCAGGCTCATTGTTGGTGCTTATTGTTTCTATCACTTCCACTCAAATGCCACCTCTCCTTGAAGCCTCCCAGACTGGCAGACAGGGTTCTCTGGACTCTGGGAAGAACTGCTCAGTTCGGGGCCTCCCTGGTGGCGCAAGGGGTTAAGCACCGCACTATGAGGTGGTCCACAGCCTCTGCAGCACGAGTTCGAGCCCACATGGAAAGGCAGACCTCTCCTGTCTTGCCTGCTGCTCCTCTCAGCAGTGTATTTCAGTTAGTCTGCCTGTTCTGTTCCCCGCTCTGTCTCTGGTGAATCCTCTTGCCCTCCGCACCTCTGGCCTGTATCCCAGCTCTTGTATGCATAAATAAATAAATCTTTAAAAAAAAAAAGAATTGCTCAGTTCAGCTCTCACACCCCTCAGGCTGCACTTCCATTTGTTTCTCACCCAGTGGTGGGCTCTTCAAGGGCAGGGACAGATTTCTTTTCGTCTCTATCCTCTTAGCACCAGGAATCAGCCTGACCCGGAGCCCGTGCCTTCTAACCCATGGCTGACTGCCGCAGCGCGCTCTGGCAGATGAGACTCACCATCTTGCTGAAGTGGTATTTACAGTAGCCGCAGTACTTGACGTTGTCCACCTCCAGCACCTCTTCCTCACACAGCAGGCCTGCCATTTGGGCACTAACCGAGAGAGAGCAGCCTGAGAAGGACAGAGCCACAAGCCAAACCAGCCACCTCCCTCCCACCCTCCTGAACCCCACAGGGGCAAAGCCAAGGACCAGAAAGGCACTGCCATCACCACCAAGAGAAAGCAGCTAGGAGGAGCCCATTCCATTACCATCTATGGCAAACCTGGGAGGGAGTTGGTAGTTGGCCTGGGACCCTAGAGAACAGGGTAGGGGCATGGGGGATAGGCAGGGGTCTCACCAGGTAACATGGAAAGCTTGTCGACATCCATGGCGGTTACAGGTCATGCAGGCTCCTGAGGCAGCCTTGCTCTCCCGGCCCTGCTCCTCGCAGATGTAACAAGTCTGCAGGACACAGCGCAGTGGTCCCCTGCCTCCACCTGACTGTTCCTTTGGCCTCCCCCTCAACTCCACCCTCTCCCTTTGGTCTTAGGCCAGGGCTATCTAGTAGAACTTTCTGTGATAAAATGTTCTGTGATGTATTATCCAATACAGTAGCCACAAACCACATGGGCTGCTGAACATTTGAAATGTGGCCAGTGTGACTAAGGAACAGAATTTTAAATTATATTTCACTGTAATTAATTTACATAGCCACATGTGGCCCGTGGACACCATATTGGATGGTGACCTTGGATGGTGAGGCCTAGGGTCTCTGTGTCTTGCTCACTGGAGAGCCAATTCCCACCTCTGGGCCTTTGCACATGCTATTCCTTCTGCCTAGAACCGGGCACCCCACCCTACTCCAGGATGGCGCCTTCTCATTCTCCAGGTCTCAGCCTAAATGTCTCTGTCCTTGTCTCTATCCAAAACCCTTAAAATAAGATTTTTTTTAATTCACTTCCTAATTGCTTTCTTCATAATGCCATAAACTGCATTGACTTTATTTGCCTGTTTGATATGTACAGTCTTCAAACACAAGAGTGTGAGTTCACACAAGAGTAACCCGCACTCATCTCGATCGATACTGAACACTGCGCCTGGCATCTCACCTAGGTTTGGCACATAGTAGGCCAGTACAATGTATTCAGGGAATGAACGAGTGACCTGCTTCTAAGGTTGACCCCTGGCAGTGCTACTGCAAGGCTGCCTGTTTCCCGGAGTTCCAGAGCATGGGTGTGGGTGTGTGAGCGGACGGCGCCTCCCCACCTCCTGAATTCCCTGAACATGTCAGTTGGACAGAATGAAATTACACTGGATGAAGACAGAGTTTGAGGGACCCAAGGGTGTTGGCTAGGGAGGGGATCATACACGCATGGCAAGGGCTGCTGACCTTGTTGAAGCGATCATGAGGCACGTACTGCAGCACGATGGGCTCCATGGTGAGCACGTTGGCAAACTGCACCTCGGGGATGTACAGGGCACACACCACGTGGGCCCAGCCTGGGGCAGCGGGTGTGGGGCAGGCCTCAGCCGTGATGGCAGGTTGGAGACCCTGGCCCCTCACAACCCAAAACTGCAGTCTCCATCCCTGGCTTTCCCATCAGATTCCAGTGTCAAACAGGGAAGGCGAACCCAGCCTCCACTCCACCCCAGCCCACTTCTGCCTTCCCAGACCCTGCTCAGGCGGCCTGGCTGACCTCCACAGATGAGCCCGGGGCTCAGGGCTACCCTCACCTCCATTGTCAGTCCTCTTCAATGCCCCGTCTTTGTGTGGGCACAGCTCACACCTCTGCCAATGCAAGGGGGCAGAGATTGAGAGGGGGATCTTTCCAAAACAAGATGGGGTATCTGCTGAGCCCAGCCCTCCCTAAACACATGCAAAGGTACTCAGAGGAAATGATGTCTGTGCAGGATGGGTGGGGGGTAGAGGGAAGAGGACTGGCCATGAGTTGATAACTGTTGAAAATGGGTAATGAGAATAAGACTTTCACTAGAATATTCCCTCTACTTCTGTGCAGGTTGTAAACTTTCCATAATAAAAGTTCAAACCAACAAGTAAACAAAAGGCCTGCATGCCTGGGGTGGTGTAGATGAAGGATGAGTGAAGTGATAGGGCTGGAGATAGGTGTGCAGGAAACAGGAAGTCCCGGGTGACAGAACTGAGTCCCACCCTAGCCTCAGAGTCCCCTAGTACAAGGGGGAGGAGACGCTCAGGTGTTTGGGAGGGGGAGGGGAGTCTCAAACTCACCACCCTGGCTGCTCGTTCCTGAGATTCACATTTCCGGCAGAACCAGGGTCCCGTGGGCACCTGGACGATGCCATAGCAAGCTGGGGGTGGGGGAGGAGAGTCATTGAGCAAATCTGTCAGCCAGCGGCTTGTCCTAGTGTAACTGGGAGAAAGGGGTGACTAAAGGACTAGAACCAGGTCCAGCGGGGGTGGGGGGGGCAGGGGGAGGCTGCTCCCGTGGTGGGGGGGACCACTGACTAGACTGAGAGACCATCCCCAATGCCCGACAGCACAGCGTAGGGCCAGCCTTCAACCACACAACCAAGCTCTGCAACCATGGGCGGGAAGTCCGAGTCCTTGACCTTAAACTTCCAGAAGATCCTCCCCCTGCCCCCCACATGCCCTTTCTGGACCTATTTCATAGCTCCTGCCAGGGACCAGTCCTCCACTTCAGGAACAGAGAAACCCAGAGGAGACAACATTCAACACAGTCGAACACGTTTTGTTGTTATTGGAGGGGGGGGTATTTCTTAAAGGGCCAGTAAGGGAAGAGGCAGGAAAGTCGGGGGTCCAGGGACCTCATCTTCTGCCTCTAACTCTAATAGGTACAGGTCAAAAGTCAAGGCTGAGGGCAGGTGCCGTGCAGGTAACCGAGAGGAGAGTGGCGGGAAGAGCCTCCAGAGGCTGCACTAAGGGCTGTCCCAGAAAGTGGGGGCCCAGCTGGCTGTGCCAGACAGGCGGGAGATGCCAGCCGGCGCCCTCGGCGAGATTCCTCAAGGAGTTAACTCCCGAGCCATGTGCTGCTGGGGGAAACTCCAAATCGCTGCTCTCCGCTCCCCGGGCCCCGGTACGGGCTCTCTCCGAGCCTCCGCGCTTCCCGGGAGGAGCGCCGGCGTCCCGCTCCCCGGGGACCCTGCTCCTCCCTTCCCAATTCTGCTCCTCCCAGTATCCGGAAGCGGGGGGGGGGTGACCCCCCTTGACCTCACCCTCCGGGAGCCAGGACCAAAATAACCGGGCGCGAGGGGACACCTCGCAGGTAAACATTGCCCCGGCGGCCCCGACCCCGGCAGTGTGGGGCGCGGGGAGCGCGCTCGCTGCCACCCACACTGTCCCCAAACTCCCTCAACTTGGGGTGGGGGGCGCGGGACTGGAACAATAGGCAAGAAAACAATGCCTGACCCGGTCCTCCAGGACCGGGCCGGGGGAGCCCCCCCCGACGCCTCCCTCGCCTTCAGGTGGGGTGGGGGAGGGGCGCGCCAGCCCCGGGAGGTCTCGGGAGGGCGCGGCCGGGGGCGCCCCGCGCGCGCCGCCCCTGGGGTCCCGCCGCCCCCCGCGGGCCACCCCCGTACCTTGGTGGACAGCCACGCTGCACGCGTGCCCATCGCAGTAGACCAGCGGGTTCTCGGCCCAGCCCCTCTCGTCCGAACATACGCAGCAGCCTCCTACCATCTCCTTCATACTCCCATGAGCTCCCTCCGGGGCTGGGGCGGGGGGCCGGCCGGCGGGGGTCGGGGGTCAGGGGGGGAGGGAGGGAGCGGGGGGCCGCGCGCCTCCTCGCTCCCTCCTCCTCCGCCGCCGCCGCTTCTTTTCTTTGCCTGCTCCTTCCTCCTCCTCGGCGTCCTCCTCCTCCTCGCTCGCTCGGTCTGGCCGCCCCCCCCGCGGTGCTCTCGCCCTCATGCCCCGACGGGCCCCCCCAACAATGAGACCCGCGCGCCGGACTCGCCCCTGCGCGCCGCGCGCCCAGTCACCAGGGCCGCCCGCGCCCCGCGCAGCCCGGGCCCGGCGGGGGAGGCGCCGAGTGGCACATCGCGGGCGCCCGCCCGCCCGCCCCGCGCCGCCCGCTCACGCGCCGCCCCCCCGGCCCCCCTGCCCGGCCGCGGCAGCCATGGCCGCGCGCCTCCGCCTGCTCGCTCCCGGCCCGCCCGCCGCCCGCCGCCGGGTAAAGTCTTAGGTTCAGGGAACAAAGCCCGGCTGGGTAGGGAGCTTTTCGCCCGCCTGCTCCGCGCCGCTCTCCCCTTTCTTTTGCTCGCGGGGCCCTCGGCGGGCGCCCCAGACTTTCCCCGCGCGTCTTTCCGTCTCGGCCCCGGGTCTCCGATTCTCCAGCCCCCCTCAGCCCGAGTCTCCGTTCTTCACCCCAAGGAAACCGGAGGGCGGGGAGCAGGGGAGCAGGGGAAGGGGTGCTACAAGGAGCAGAAGCGCCGTGGGCTGCTCGCCCCTCCGTGTCCGGACGGCGCCTGGGATGGCCGCTCGGTCCGCGAGGCCCCTCTGCAGGGTAGACGCGCGCAGACGTTTGTTCACGCCACAAATATTTATCGAATGCATACTATGTGCAGCCGCGGGAGAGAGCAGGTATTCCTGCCCTCGGGGCGCGCCGGGCCGGCTCCCAAACGGCGCGCTCACGCCGGGACCCACCCCCCCCCCAGGCACCCACAGACCCAGCCGGACTCCCCGGACACACCTCCCGACACGCAGCCCCCAGGTGCGGCCCTGGGGGAGCCCCACAGGAGGGTGAGCGACCCACGGCTGGAGAGACGCGCGCGGGCTACAGGTTACACTTGACCTCCGGGCGGTCATGCACCAGACACAGCGCGAGCGCTCACGTCGCCCCCTCAAGGACTGAAGCCCCTGAGACGGGGTTCTGGGGAAGAAGTGACGGGGCGTCAGCCCCAAGGCCAGTGTGGGTACGGGGGGTGAAATCTGAACCCCCTGCTTCCTAAAGGGGGGGTGGACGCCCTCAGAGACTAAAGGTCACACTCTCTCAGGAGGTGGGGTGGCTGAGGGGAGAAGGCAACCCTGGGGGCTTCAGCCACACTTCAAAGGCCTCGCGGCTGGGAACGCTTCCTGCGGGGGAGGGGCAGACGGAGAGGAGCGGGAAGGCTGGCGGGGGGACCCGAGCCGGAGGAGGCTGCCCCTGCCTTTGGTGCACAGCCCCCCCGGCCGTCTCTTCCGCCGGGACCGCCTCCTTTTCAGCAGCACCTGTTCAACCGGAACATCAAGGGGCCTCGGCCCGCCGCCACCCCTCCCCTCGGGTCTATTTAGTACCTTTCATCCGGGAAGGGGGGTGAATCCCCGCCCCGGAGGGGGGAGTAGGGCGGGGGAGAACTTGTCCTTGACCTGGTCTGTGGCGTCAGGGATTTACTCCCTTAATCCCGGAGTTTGGGGAGGTCGGGGGAGCCGAGCTCCGGCTACAGCCCCCGACCTCCCCGCGCTCCTGCGGGGGTTCGGGTCCCCGAGGGCTGCCAGGACGCAGAGGTGGTTTCCGTGGGCGGGGCGGAGGGAGGCCTGTCTCTGTCGCCTCGGCGCCCGGAGGAGGGGCCGAGAGCCGGGGCCGGTCGCGGACCCGTTCGGGAGCCGGGATCCCCGCGGGGACCGCCGCTCGCCGGCGTCTCGGTCAGCTGGGTGAACTTCGCTCGTGCGAAAAGTTGAACACAGACGCTTGGTCTCACTTAGCAGTTTCTCACGAATTACTTTTACTCACCAGAATAAAACTTGAAGAAAATGAAATGCAAACGTGTTAGTGCTAACTGTGCACCGGCGTCGGAATATTTGAGTTGTGCTTTCGGAACTGAGAGCGGCTGATGTGGCCGCAGTTGGGTTTCGCGGAACCAGGGCCCCTCGAAGGCCCTTTGGATCATGCGTGCAGAAGTGGGCGACCTGGGGACCGGGGGCCGAGGACCCCCCCCCTTTGTCCCGGGTTCTCGCCCCGCGCGGGGCACGGCCCTAAAGCTGTGGAAACAACCGGTGAGGATACTTGTGCGTTTAGTAAGTGCGTCGGGGGGACACTGTGTCGCTGAGCCCTCCCGACCGCCCTTTGGGTGGGTGTTAGTCCCATTTCATAGATGGAGCAAGTGAGGTGCGGATGAAGTGACGCCCAAAACCACCTCGCCCGAAGGGAGGCTGCGGCTCCGCCACCCTGTCAGTGGAGCCCGCCCACCGCCGGAGTGGGCTTCTGCGGGCTGGTGAAACCCGGTGCCCCGCCGACCGGGCTGGATTCGCGGCGGGTACCCCCCAGGCTGAGCTGTCACGTTCATTCTCCATCTTTCGATGGTTCCCTGAGCACCTACTATGTGCTGGTTCACACATACACACCTAGGCCAAGTGGTTCGAGTCCAGCCCGCTCTGCTGGGGGAACTGAGCGCGGGTCTGGGTTGTGCGCCGATCCTGGCTGTGCAATGTTCGGCGAGTGACTTCACTCTCACCGGCTCAGCCCGTCGCTCTGGAATGGGGCGCCGACTCCGGGCAAGGGCATTGGTGAAGCCTGAACGAAGACCCTGCAGTAAGCGCTCAGGCACACAGTAGGCGCTTTGTCCCTGCGGCCTCTCCCAGCGTGCCAGGGCGGCGCGTTCTCGCCCCAGCTTCCCGCCTCCAGGCTCGGCGCCGGGCTCCAGCGTCCCGCGGTTAAAGGACTGGGGCAGAGAGGACCAAACAGAAAATTATTTCCGCCCGCTCGGCCCGCCCCGCCCCGCCCCGCCCCGCCCGTCCCCGGAGCCAGAAGGGGATTGTGGGGCTGCTGCCGGAGCCGAGCCGGGCGGAAGCGCGCGTCGCGCTGCTGCTCGGGCCCGACCGCGCCGGCCCCGGCGCCTCCGGGCCGCGGGCTCCGGGCTGGGATCCCGCGAGCCCCGGGCCCGAGCCGGCAGCTGCCAGGCGCGTTTCCACGAAACCAGGCTCGCCGGTTCCCGGAACCGAGCGGGGGAGGCTGAGGAGCATTGAGGTTTCGCTTCTGCTAGCCGGCCGGGAGCTTGGTTTCACCCGTCTCCGGGGTTGGGGGCTCGCCCGCCCCGCTTGGTCATTAGAAAGCCCCGGGGGCCGAGAAAGAACTGCGCCGCGCCGCGGGTTTGCTTCTCTTTGCATACCGCTTTCTCCCCGGAAAGCCAAGCTTCTGACCTTGGGGATGTTCAGAGAGGTTAAGTTGCATCCCTGAGGTAACCTAGCCAGTGCGAGGCTTTAGGTAGTCTACCTGCTGGGTGGGAGAGAGAGACAGGGCCAAATAGGGGGGAGGGAATCTAGAATCGGATGACGAGGGTTCGACTCCCGGTGCTGCCACTTACTGATTGCCCATGGGTCATCTGGGACCCTCAGTTTCATCACCGCAGAATGGGATTACTAGGACCAACCTCAGGGTGGATGTGAGCAGCGATACTGTCAAATGCCAGGCACAGAGAAAGGTGATTTCCCCTTCAAAGGTTATATGACTCTGCCGTGGCGTCTCTGGTAGACCTGGTTGGGGTGAGGGTGGGTGTGCTGGTTCTTTCCTATGTGAGACATCCTGTGCAAGGGGCATAGACGCTCGATTTAAAGAGAAACTGGTGGGAGTGGGGACTTCCCCTGGCATTAGGTCAGCGTCATGATTAATGTAAACAGTGACTCTGCAGGGTGGGAGTTTTGGCTTTTCAGAATTTTTACCGGAAGAACTCACTACTCCGTGACAAATCCTGCCTCTGCATTAGCTAATAATGTGACACAGTGTATTGCACCTCAGTTTGCCAGTCTGTAAAACGGGAATAATTGTATCGCCTCCTCCCATCTGTGGGACTTTGGCAGCTCCAGCCAATCAAGATCTCAGTAGTGCTTGAAGAGCTCTGAGTGCACGAACTAGTCCCTTGGACCGTAGGATAGAAGGGACTTCCTTTGGGGAGTCAGAATGGGTTGGAAGGGGAAGAGGATCATGGGGCAGAGTAGTCATCTGCCTAACCTTTTCCCAGAACTGTAACAGGGCAGCCCCAATACAAACCGGGTTGCCTGACTGTGGGTCCTCACACGCATGCTTAAAAGGATTTATCAATGCTCTACTGCAGGCACACACACACAAAAGGTTAATAAAAGGTTTATTTACAAGGGAAGGGGAAATGAGGAAATGTACAGCTCAGGGAGAAAAGTGGGAGATAAAGTCTTAAATGCGTCCTACCCGATCCACCGATCTGGACTCCCAAATGGCACTCTGAGAGCTGGCCACGAGCCACCAGCCATGAAGCCAGGAGGCGAGTGAGACCCCAAGGCCCACGTGTCTGGTTTTTATACCAAACCTGGCTGCTTAAGTCCACCCTCAGGTCCCAGCAACCTTCCCTTTGGTGGTGATGGGATTTGTCTTTCCCAATGTCCTGATGGCTTTGGTCTGGAGTGGGGGTGGAGTCCACAAAGCCTGCATGGAATTAGCTCAGGACATCCTTTCCCCCTAACAATTCCCCCCTTTCACTTTTTGCCACCATTTCCATGGTGATGGAGATCAAATATATGGATGCTGGGATACAGTCTCAGATGAAAATTTTCCAGCGTTGGACATCCTTTCCCCCTAACAGAACTACTTGGAATCTAGTCCCAGATCTTCCTCTAAGTAGCGGTGTGACCTTGGATAAAGTAGTTGCTCTCTTTGTCATTTGGGTTGGGTGACTGGATCTTGAAAACCCCCTTGGAGTTAACAGTCTGTGGTTGATGATTCTGCTCCTACAGGCTGAGAATTGACAGTTACCCTGACATGTTCCTCTTTTCTACCAGTTCCTCCTGAAGTC